GGGTATATACATCATTCTTGGACACAACACTAACAAATGCATCCTCCGTTCATGAGTTGAAATGAATGAACTAAACTCGAGACTCGATGCATGATCCTGTTCTAGTCACCATTAATTTTCTGTATGATTTCACGGGATTTAGTCAATTGTTTTAATCAAAGGATATCGCTATGAAGTAGAAATCTATGGTATCAAAGAATTTTCACTCGTTATTTATTTTATGGAATAAGTTAATCAACTTTTGGCATCTTATTGAGCAATAACGGTAATATTGTTCCTCCATTGATCAAGATTTTTTATTTTTGGGAAGTAACATGATCATGATCATCGAATAAGAAATCCATAAGTTACTCAAAGTCACAAAATCTCAAACTTATTGAGATTTTCTTAAATTAAAAAACTTAAAAAATTAAAAAGAGAAAAACTACTACACACTGCATTTGAACTCGATGGCCTCAAATTAAACAATAAAGAATTAACATTGAATTTTATATCAACTATTTTGGTTTGGGTTAATGCACAATAGTACGCAAGGTTACCATCAAGAGTTTGTAAGAAGCCCAGCTAGTTCATCCTATCATTTGTTTGGGAGCTCATAACTCCATTGTGCATGTGGGATTGTTTGTGCCAATACTTCAAGAGTCTTCTTTCCACCTAAAGAAAAAAAATACTTCTGATGTCCTAGTTAACAATCCAATCCAATGCCCATCATTCTCAACACTGACACTAAGAAAAGCCGTAGGATTTGACCTCCCGATGCCCATTTTCTTCAATCCCTTCAACCTGTATGGTGCCTGTATCAGGCGCATACCCAGCTCTTCTCATATCACAAATCAGCACATCAAGCAGCTCGTAGATCTGTTTGCATTTTGGATGTGCTTTCTCACAAACAAGAAATGTATGCACTTCATCCTTAACCTCAATCCAGCTGCAACCTGGCTCCTTTTTCAAATTGTGATATCTCATTGTTTGTCTCATCTTTGAAACTTGTTGCCACATGCCTGCATCAGCATAGATATTTGATAGAAGGGTGTAAGCAGCCGAGTCTTCTGGCTCCAATTGCAAAAGTGAACCAGCTGCCTTCTCTGCAACTTCTACATTCCCCTGGATTTTGCAGATGCTAAGCAGAGTTCTCCATATAATTGCATCTGCTTCAAATGGCATGTCCTGTATGAGCTTTAATGCCTCCTCTACTTGGCCTGATCTCCCTAGAATATCCACCATACACGAGTAGTGCTCGAGTTGGGGGTCTAAACCATAGATACTTGCCATTTTGTGAAAATAACATTGGCCCTTCTCAGCATTTCCCACATGTGAACAAGCTCGAAGAACCGAAACAAAAGTTGCATGGTTTGGTTTCATATTCTCAAGGAGCATATGTTCAAAAATCTCAAGGGCCTCTTCCCCTAGACCGTGGTGAGCACATCCACAGATCATGGCATTCCATGTGACAGAATCCCTCTTGGGAGCTTTCTGAAACATAAGTAGAGAATCGTGCATATTTCCACATTTTGAGTACATGTCAACAAGAGTGCTTGTAATATACACATCTGATTGCAATTCCAGCTTGATAATTTGTGCATGGATTTGCTTTCCCAGTCCAACAGTAGCCAAGTTAGCACAGGCGTCCAGAACGGTTGCATAAGTAAAATTGTCAGGTTCTACACCCATTTCCAACAAATGAGAGAAAAATCTTTGTGAATCTTCACTTTTCTTTTGAAGTGAAAATCCTGAAATGATTGCATTCCATGAGACCATTGTTTGTTCTTCCAGCCGGTAATGGATCTTTTCTGCCTCTTCCATCATTCCACATTTGCAGTACATATCAACGAGGGCACTTCCTACAAACATGTCCAGACCCATTCCAGATTTGATAATTCTTCCATGAACCTCCATGCCAGTGTTGAAAGCTTGCTGACCTGCACAAGCTTTTAAAACACTGCCATATGTGAACTCATCAGGTTCCATCTTTGTACGTAGCATTGTAGCAAAATGTGAGAGCGTTTCCCGGTCGCTTTCATTCTGTTCACAAGCTGTAATGATAGCATTCCAAGACACCGCATCCCTTATTTCCATTTCATCAAACATGCAAGAAGCTTCAACTAAGGCTCCACATTTGCCATACATATCCAGTATGGCATTTGCAACACAGATATTTGATGAAAAATTAGACTTAATGGCTAATCCATGTAGCTGAACCCCCTCAGAGAGCACTTTGATCACTGCAGCTGCACTCAATGCACCAGAAAGAGATATTTCATCAAAAATGAAACCAGTCTTCTGCAACTGAAGAAATAGCTTTAAAGCTTGAAACCCTTGCTGATTTCGAGCATACCCGATTATCATGGCGTTGTAAGATTGCAAGTTATGGCCTGGTAACAAGCTAAACAGCTTGTGGGCATCAGACATGTTGTCACACTTAGCATACATATCCATAGTAGCAGTTCCTACAACAACGTCAGATCCAAAGTCAGCCTTCAATGCATGGCAATGCAACTGAGTACCTAATCTAGATGCAGATAATCCTGCACAAGACCTGAAGACACTAGCATAAGTAGATTGACTCACCCCAATTCCCCTTCTCTGCATCTCTTTGAATAGTTTAAGGCCCCTAATCAACTGATCATTTTGAACACAGCCTGCAATTGCAGCACTCCATGAAATCCAATTCTTATCTGGCAATTCAGAGAAAACACTAAGTGAATCCTCTAGTTTGTTACACTTGGCATACATATCTACTAGAGCACTTCCTGTCACAACATCATAATCAAAACCCATTTGGACTGCAATACCATGAATCTGACTTCCCAGAACGTGGTCTTCCAACATGGAGCAGACTTTTAAAGAAACCGCCAGGGTAGTTTGGTCTAACAAAACTCCCATTTCTCTCATTTTCAAAAAGACAGCAATTGACTTATGTATGTCACCATTTTGCAAGTACCCAGAAATCAAAGAATTCCATGAAACCACATCACCATGATGAGGCATGGAATCAAACAACGCCTGCGCAACTTCCATCATTCCACCCCCTGCGCAGCCAAAAATCATGGTGTTCCAAGACACAATGTCCCTCTGCGGCATTTTCTCAAACACCTTAAATGCATACTCCAGAACGCAACATTTAACATACAATTGAATTAAACAATTAGTTACAAAGACAGTGGGCTCAAACCCAGATAGAATCATGTGAGCATGAGCTTCTTTTCCTGGTTTCAGAGCTCTCCGGTTCGAGCATTCCTGAAAAATATGAGAGAAAGTCTTCCTGGTGGGTGGGATTGCTTGGGTCGCAGTGAAAGTTGAAGCTGCACATAATTGCAGAAACTTGCTCGACGTTTCCAATGGGAGATATAAAGTTCTTACAGACCAAAAGCGAGAAAGAAAAGCCATCAACAATGGTACTCATGCTTTGGCGGGCCTTGGACGTTTGAACTTAGGCTTCACTTGCCTCTGCCATGGAGCTGTGCCCGCACATTTGCAAGCGGCACTACTTAATAAAACAAATAGAAATCTTATATTATATCTTTAAATTATACGTATAAATATATATATATATATATATATTATATATAGTAGTATTTTTAAAAAATTTTAAAATGTTAAAATGTATTAATTAAAAGTGATTTTAAAAAAAATTAAGATATTAATGCAACTTCTGAAGGTATGTTTAATAAAAAAATCTTTTTTTTTTCCTTAAAAAATAATAAACAAATAAATTTCTGAATTTGAGTTTATTGAGAATGGAAAGAAGGGATATAAAACGGTGACTTGGTCAAAATCCTCGAACGTCATTTCCCCCAAAATTTCTATGGATTTTCTCTCAATTCCTAAACTTAATCTTCAACCTAACGTGGCTCTTCCTGATCAAACCCACTCCGATTCTCCTTCTCCGGTGCCGTCTGTCCCATCCCTCCGCCGCGACGATCTCCCCAACACCATGGATTTCAACCCCTTTGCCACCATCTCCTCCATCGTCACATCTGCCGACGATTCCTTCCCTTTCGACACCGATTGGTTTTCCGACGCGGATTCCGAGTCCGAGCGTGATGTTAGTTGCTTCGTGACTGATCTTTTTGAGAATCGTCGCTTCACCGATCATTTGCACGCTTTCAGCGATTACGATCGAGGTCTGGATTCTGGGCCAGACCCATTTACGCATTCTGCTAACGACTTGGGCATTTCGGGATTTGAAGATACCGGTGAGATTGAATCTCACTATATTGAGGAGCTGTGGTCGGCTTTCGCTATGGAATCTGATAGCCGGGTTTCGGAGGTGGATGTGAGCATGCCAGTTGCGGATTCGACTACTAGTGGCCTTCGGATTGTTGATGTGGATTCGGACTCGGAGTCTGATAACGGGATGATTGGTGCTCTGCAACTCGTGACAGGGGATGATGGCGAGAATGATGCTAATTGGGTTGAAAATCCGAATCCTCTCTCGGATAGCTTCAGCTTTTGTTTTCAGGGCCAGAGGATTCCGTACGAGGATTTTGAATGGGAGGAGGTCGAGGAACGGGTGGACGAAAGGGATAATTTGAGCGCAGTGGTAGATGGAGCTGAGGAATTGTCTCTTGCATCGGGTTTTTCCAACGAAGAAGAATCGGGTGAAGAAGCGGGTCGATGGGAAATCCTATTGGTAATGAACAATATCGTAAGGAATACGAACTGGGAACGGGATAACGATGCTGAGGCGTACATAGCGGACCAGGATGATTACATGTATGCAGGAGAATACGATACCCTTTTTGGACAATTCGTTGAAAATGAGAATGCTTTGAAGGGTAGTCCTCCAGCGGCCAAGAGTTCTGTGGAGAACCTTCCTCTGGTTGAGTTAAAAACAGAGAATCTGCTGACAGAGGAACTCGTTGCCTGTGCCGTTTGTAAGGATAAATTTTCAATGGAGGAAAAGGTGAGGAAGCTCCCCTGTGCTCACTATTACCATGATGATTGCATTCTGCCGTGGCTGAATATTCGAAACACATGTCCTGTTTGTCGATATGAGTTGCCAACCGATGATCCAGATTATGAGCGCAGGAAGAGTCAGAGGGCGGGTGGTGGCCTGCAAACGGATTTGCGGGTCAGGTACAATTTTGAACTAATAGCTTAACATTAGTCCAATCTGTGAAATGCAACCTGTGAATAGCGTCACTTTTAGATGAAGAAAGTTGGTTACGATATTGCATTTGTAAAGGTTTTGGGGTAAGATTTCTTTTAAAAGTTTTCCTCCCGGAACAACTAGCATTGCTGTTGATACGCTCAAATTGTCTTCACAGGTATCCATTGTTATTCAAATGCTTGGTAAGTTTTAGTCGCTAATAGTAGGGGGAAACTATACTATCTTACCTTGTTGAATTCAATTTAGGAATTATAAAGTTTGAGACAAAGCATACTAAGTGCTGAGCTTTGAAACTGTTTACTTGTGATGTATTAAATTTGTATATTTATATGCTTGGGTATCCGTTGGTAAACTTGTTAAAATAGGAAACTCCTGGCGTAAACTTTTGTGTGGCGCAATTGCTTGATTTTGGGTCAAAATAATTCTTGTAAGTTTGCTTAATAGGCGTGGGAAGGATGATGCTTCTGTCCTCGTGTTCTGGTTATTAATACTTACTCATCCGGTTATTGGACATAGAAATCTTAGTGGATATGCTTTGGCCTTTTGATTTTGTTTGGGAGTGTTTTCTCTCCTAATAGCTTAAGATTAGTCCAATTTGTGAAGTGCTTTGTCAAATAAAATCATTTTCACGGTGCTTGGCTACGTGTGAAAATTTTGTTTATGTATGAAGAAACGTTTAGTGGACACTTCTAATCATTCATGATATTGGTTCAGAATCGGGATTCTATTAAATGAAATCTTCTTTTTTGAGAAAAGAAGTATCTCAGCAAGGTTTGGGTAGGGATTTTTTTAACTTAGATTTTTAAATAGTAAGTTATCTACTCCATCCGACTAGGTCAAGTTAGGTAATTTTCCTTACATCTCTCCCCTGAGCCCAGGTATCATATACGCCCCCAAGAAAAAGAGCTTTGAATACTAGAAAAAAAGCACCTATACCTAACAAAATTGAGTGACTGCCCAAAAGGGTAGTCATTTTATTTCTACAAGAATGATTATTAAGTGGTGTGGTGTGGATCATACATTTTTTTTCTTTGGAATTATTTTAGGTTTTTTGTTTAAAATAATTTTATAGGAGCATTTCTTTTATCAAACAATCTTCCGAAGTCACAGACTTCTGAATTCTGGTGTTAGCTATTGTTACATTTACTTGGGTGTTATCTTATTCTTCCCTTCTTTGAAATCTCTCAGAAATTGTCTTATGAAATATTATTCTGGTGTTTTTTAGTTTCTTATGAGTTGAATCTCGGATAACTTGAGCAGTAGATACATTGATCGTCATTTACTTTTATGCCTTATCATAATATCCATTGATTAATTGATGTAGCTACTAAAAAAAGCCTGCATTTCCTTCATGATCTATATGATGTTTGCTGCTTCTCGAACACGATATAGACTATGACATTAACCCGATGAGTTGTGTGCCTGTATTTCTTTCATGGTTTGTATGCTGTTTGCTGCTGCTAGAATGCAATATAGACTACGACATTAAACTGAGGGTGTGTTGTGCCTGCATTTCCTTCATGGTCTATCTGATGTTTTCTGCTACTAGAACGCGATATAGGTTGAGTTGTGCCTGCATTTCATTCATGGTCTATATGATGTTTGCTGCTGCCAGAATACGATAAAGACTGACATTTAAGGATGAGCTGTAGTAACAACTTCCATGATTTATCCTCATGTTCTGGATCAGGATTATTCTCTCTTCTCACTTGTGATTTGTGAATCTGTGATTGGTACTTTTGTTATTATCGTTGAGAACCATATTTGTTACCATATTCTTCTTATCCAGGTTCCCCTTCCACCCAAGTTTTGATTGAATGATTCATTCGGTTCAGTGAAACTCTTTCTTCTGAATTGGAAATTGGATTTGAAATTATTGTAGTGTTTACTACGCCTCTGCAATTTTGCCCTTTCTGATAAAGGTTGGTTTGAAGTATTCTTTCCAGGCTTAAGATGCTGAACATATGTGATATTTGTAGCTGTGTTGGTTATGGAGTTGTTTGCTATAGTTTTTTTCCTCTGTTTTTTGATTTTTATAATAATTTTTTGTTTTAAACATATAAAAAGTTGTCATGAGATGATTAATCATGAGAGGTACATAGAGAGGCCTTAACTATGCCTAAGAAACTCATTAAATATAGATATATTACATTAACAAAGTTTGATGATTATGGACAAAATTTTCAAAATGTTTTTATTATTACTTGTCTCAACATTGAAGAATCTTTCTTTTATCCTTTTTATCTCTCGACTTCTAGGGATGGACATGGCAACTATGGAAAAGCTATGCTCGTGTTGACATATGTGCATTATAGAAAGTAAACGTATGAATGTGCAAAACGAAACTATTATATGCACTTGCTTGAAGAGGATAGTCCAACTCTAGAATTCACTTTGCATTCGTAGGTAAATTTTCAAGTAGATTTAACTAGTTAGCTTTATCTTTTGCATCTCCTTATAGCTTCTTGCCTATGATTCTTGTCTCATTATGCATCTCTTTATAGCTTCTTGCCTATAATTCTTGTCTCACTGGAGGAGAGTGCAAGAGTGCAAGGGCTGTGTAATGATCACCAATAAAGATTTTTTCACACTTTTATCATAGAGCAGAAATATTTCGTGATTGTAGTGACACGATTAGACTTGAATTAGGTTTGGGAAACTAAAAAGCATGAAAAGGGATTTAATGAAGGTAGTTGCTTTAATAACTTTAGGAAATTCAATATATGCTTAACGCACGAAAGAGAGAATCTACCAAAGCGACTTTGATGTTAAATCCCAAAGACTTGAAAGAAATGTTTCCAAGCCAAGCTAGACCATAATTAATATCGAAGTGTAATACCTTGTAGTTCTTAAATGGTAGATTGAATTGAATTGCATTACGTCATTTATGGGTCTGTAATCTCAAAGACTAAGGACTAAAATGGAGTATTATTGAAATCTCATGTCAATGAGAGAATTATGCCTCTGAAGGATTGCTTATTAGCATGGGCAAGGAAGAGAAGAAGAAGAAAGAAAAAAGTAGGGCAATATGATGAGTGGTAGCTATCTTGTCAAAAGGTTGCCTAATATTATTGTGGTTATCCTCAAATTATGATAGTGGATTAGGATTTTAATCCAAATTTTGGTGAGCCAAAAAGAAGGCTCAAGTGATTGTCTTAATCCAAATTAAAAATGCACTACCACTCCCTTAACTCCCTTAACGGCACTTCTTAGCATCATATTCTCGTACATTTAAAAATTATATAAAGTTCAAGATGTTACCCAATGAGTTAATCTATTCGTGTGTATAATTGAAGTAAGAAAACGATAGGCATAGAAAAGCAACATAATGGTTCAATCTCATGAAACATCAATTATTCAAAGGAAGTAAATTGAGACCTCAATGTGCTTAAAGTTTGATGTCTCTCATTTTAACTCGGGTATGAGTAGAGCCAACCCTGCCCAAAGAACTATTAAGGACAAGTCCTTCCATTGCTAATAACCATCGAAAGACTATAGTTATACACAAGAGTCACCTAGAAGTACAATATGTGATGTATGTAAAGTAAAGGAGAAGAAGAAAACTTATCTTCGAAGAGTCGATGATTTCTTTCTTTCTAAAGATTTCACATCTTCGAAAATCTTTTCCTTTCTACTAAAAGGTCAGCCATCGAGTATTTTCGAGAACCAATCGTCCACCCTTTTTGAAAAGTACTTAGACTCCTTGAACGCTATTAATATGAAAGAACATCCTTTTACCACAAAGAATAGTGAATGAAAATGTGCTCAAATATTTCTTTCATTAATGAGAAATAACACAAGACAACATTTTTATTATAGTCACGAAATGAAAGTATTTCAAAACTTTTGTAACACAAAACTATTATCATGTCATAAATAATTCAAATCTTTATCCACCAATAATTTTCTCATATCCTTTTTCGAAGTAGACGCGAAAAAGGAAATAAAAGGATGGCGCAAAGGAAATGGTATAAAAGAGAAAAAAAAAGAAGAAAAACTATTTGAATGATGAACACTATTGGATGAACACGAAGGAATAGAAAGAAAACCAAGAAAACAAGCATCTAAAATAGGACAAACACTATAAAGATGTTTTGGGCATTTTCCTCTCTCTCTGCCCAAAAAAATCACCAAATTATAGAACCCAAAAAAGGCTCCAATAATGTACATTTTGGAGCTCTATCCAATACTTTATAGGACACCCACCACAAGAATTTGAATCGAGGGAAAGAGCATCACCAAATACCATTCAACAAAAACATATATTGAGGTTGCTTTAATGGGGTTCATTGAAAAGCTACCCATTCATTCATTCATTCATTTATTTGTTTATTTTTGCAATCTCTCTAATAAATTCTTCCTTCTTTTAAAAAAAGGAAAGCCTGAATTGACAAGAGGAGCAATAGGAGGGGTAGGATGCAGGGGATGGTGGCACTAACCCATGCGCACTTTGACCCACAACTTGTCATCTATCATCCCCTGTCTCTCTTCATTTTTCTTTTTGGCTTTTTTCTTCTTTTTCTTCCTTTGCTCACTCCATCATCCTTCCTAACACAATTGTCTTTCCCCATCAAATTATTTTCACTTTTGAATATAATGGATCAGTCCAAGTACTTTTTAAAAAAACATATATTATTCTATACGATATTCATTCTTTTAAGTTTTAAGCTATAGAGGAAAGAAAAGGAAAGAAGATCGGTCAAATTTCCGCCTATGTCATTTGATGTTTGCTTTTGATGAAATAAAAATCTCCTTATTGGGTCGCTCATTTTGGTATGGGATTTTAGGTATCATACCATATTATACGTTTAGGATAATTGGTTCTTTGTATAACTCTTAAGTTAAGCGGTTGAGCATATGTTTGATATGTTGAGTGACTCACTTGTTCAAGCTACTAGTTTGGTAATTCGGTATGCGTCTTCACAATTATAAGTTCCTAAAGAATCCACAAACTTGTACTTCTATAATCTATTCCTTTTTACACTACAAATCCATAATTTAAGCCGAACATCTAACAAAATATCATGGCAAGTTTGAGAAGTGCTTCTAATGGACGAAAACAATTTTCATCTTACCAAGTCATCTTAATCACACCCTCAATCAAAATATGATATTGAGTAGCAATAGTAGTTGTTCATTAGGAACTATTCTCTCCTTTACTTTGAAGTTTGTACAAAAATTCCTAAGGTCGTTCAAAAGGACAAAGGAAACAATAATATTGTTTAGTAACACTCTACAACCCCTTAATATTAGAGGAAAAATGGAACCTAAGAAACCTTGTCCGAAAGGGGCCCTCGTGTTTTATACTGGCTGGAAGTTTGATCCCTGCCAGTTCACGATCATCATGGGATATATAACATATTCATATGATGTACACTACAAGTACATACATTGCAGAAAGACTGAACCAACTGTGAAGTTTCTGATACTATTGGACAGGAAACATGCTGAAATCTGTACCTTTCCCACATATCTACTAACAGCTTCCCACCCAAATCTCAGACACACTCACAGCTGAGTGAGGGAGAGAAAAAAGACAAAGAAAGAGAAATGGTCAAAATGTTTCTAATGACAATGTTGACTAAGCAGTCCACTCAATCAGACAAGGGCCTCAAGTGTGGGGAAGCAGTATTTTTTGTTTTTCAAGTTCTCTTTTCTTCGGTAAAGATTATGGTATTACATGAATCAGAGAAAAGCTCTTTATTGAATGGAAGACTAACTTTCAAAGCAAGTATACAATTGCTTGCAAGTGTGGCTGTTCCCTCCACCAATCAGACAAGATTTTCCACTCTGAAAGTAACTTTTTACCTTACTGACTGAGTGTGGTTAGGACCTCAGCTACACTCTATGTCTTTTAGCAGCTAGTAAAATGTGATCCCCAGCTCCACCAACAAGCTAAGATTTGACCAGATTTTAAAAATAACATGCTTGATTGAAGCAATTTTACACGGTTGGCCATTAATTTTTTTAGCAGCTCAACATCGTGCAACTCTTGCACCTAGTATCCCTTTCCCGGACGACAGAAACTTGACAGTGATTGAACAACAAGACTAAGAAATAATGAACTAAGGTTAAAGTTTGAGTTAATCTTATTTACCAAAAACCATCTAAGTCAACAATATCATTTTGCAAAAAAAAAAAAAAAAAAAAAAAAATTTA